AAGCCCTCCCGCGGAGGAGCCGCGCCCCCGGCCCCGCCGGTCCCGCCGAGATGCTGTTCCACAGTCTGTCGGGCCCCGAGGTGCACGGGGTCATCGACGAGATGGACCGCAGGGCCAAGAGCGAGGCTCCCGCCATCAGCTCCGCCATCGACCGCGGCGACACAGAGACGGTAGGCGCACGGCTGTGGGTCGCGCCGAAAGCTAGGACGGGGCCTTGTGGGTCTGCGCTTCTGCTCCCCTAAGTTTGGGGGCACTTTGGGGAGTGTCCTTCGTGCCGCACGGGACTGGGCGCTGGGGATCCGCGGGCCAGATGCAAGGCCCGTAGCTCCCCGCTCGGGGGAGAAACCAGGCTGCCGGGGGTGCGGGGGAGGAGGGAAACAAGGTTGAGACCGAAATTTTAGACCCAGAGGGTGGAAGGGAGCGCTTGTCCCGGAGTGAGAGCGAAGTCCTACCCGCGGCCCGAGATGGCTCTCTTCTCACTTGGTGCGGCCCTCTGGTCACCAGCTCCGCGCCTCCACCAGTTGGCCGTGGCTGCTGGCGGCGCGGGGAAGGGCGAACCAGCCGGGAGCAGGGGTGCTCCAGCCGGCTGGGGCCGCTCCCGCTTCCTGGCACTGAGGTTTCTTCCCCAGCGCAGTTTCAGGGGGCCAAGTCTTCTGGGCCACCGCTTTTTGTTGATCGCGACCTGGGCCGGGCCAGGCCAGGGCTCGTAGTTCAGGCTCCGGCCTGGCTCTCCCAGCAGCAGAGTCCTTTCGAATCGCCACACCTGGCTCTGCCAGCCCAGCCCCAAATAGTCAGTTCCTTGCCTCAGACCTCCCTGGGGGCCAGATGAGCAGACGTTGCCCAAGTAGGGCCCAGAAGTGACCTTTAGAGGCGGAGGAGGTGGGGAGCGCAGGAAGTTTCTCTGCACAGAAAGCAAAGAGCAGCAGCTCCAGTGCCTCGTCTTCTGAGTTCTTCCCAGGGTTAAACTATCTCAGCCTGTCAGTTTGGTTAGCCGACTGTTTGGCTTGGGCCTGTCCTGCATGCAGAGACTTTGAGGGTGCCTCTGCACCCCATTTACCATCTCCCAGGATCCTGGGACCTGCGACCTGGCTCTGACCTAAACCTTTGCTTAAGGATCCAGAGATCACTGGGCGCCAGGAACTCTGCGTCTCTGGAAAGCAGTCAGAGTGTAGGGTGACTTTTAATGGTCATCTTACCCCTTTTCCTGGGGGCCCAGCCTAGTGACTTCTGTAAGAAACTCTCTGGGGGGAAGCTTTTGGAGGGCTTGACTGGGGTAGCCGCCACTGCCTCAGCCCCCAAACACAGCCTGAGACTTTCTGGCAAAAGAGCAGAGGGGACAGGAAGGGGTGAAGTCGCGGGAGATCTATCCAGGCCAGCCACCGGGCCTGGGCCTGTGGCCTGCTTGGGCTGTGTGGGCCGGCCTGGGTCCTGAACCTTCTGGGTAGGGGCCTTTGGGGGTGGAGGAAGCGCACCGCACACCCTTGGCGTCTTTCTTCGAGTTTAGGGGTAGCCATTGAGGAGGGAGCTTTGGGTGCCGGTTTCCCCTCGGCGGCGGCGGCCGGGTAGCTGGCTGACGCAGGCGCTGCGGTCTC